CAGGGAAAAAGACTTTGGTCCTTTGTTTAAATATGTCCCCAGTATCCAGTAAATGCAAGCACCAAGGAGAGATTACAGCAATAAAATCAACATTCCAGCTACTGAGAGGAATTCAAATCCACCCAGTGTCACAGGAATGAAGGACAGTCTTTGGTTTCACCTTACTTGCAGAGCTCCTGGCACCATGCTGGGACAAGTCCCCTAACTGCTAGCAGGAAAGTCTATATTAAGTCTTTTCCCCTACTTTGAAGAACCGTGAGAGGCTAAACCCAATATCTCTACAATCTCACCTGGAAATCTGCTAAAGTAGGATATAAAACCCACTGCAGCCCAAGGCTCATCACACAGTGACTCCTGAAGACAGGGTGTGGCAAGGCTTTGCAAATGCAGACCCTGACGCCTACCTAGCAGCCCCAAATCAGTGGAGAGGAAAAAGAATGCACTCCTGGAGGCCTGGAGTGAGTGAATCCCAAACATCTACTTGTCACCCTGAGTACTGCTTCCCAGACCAGACTCCCCTTCCACCAAAGGAGAGACCGAGAAGAGACATAGAAGGTCATTACTGGAGTTCTGATATAAGTTCATTCTTCCCAATTAACTTTTCAGCTTACCCTGACTGAATGTTAGCACAGGCTTCAAAGGACTGGAGGCCCCATCTGTCTTGCTTATTGCTATTGACAGTAGTTAGACCTGAGCCTGGCATGAAGTATGTACACTGTCCATATGTCTGATGAATGAATGAATGAATGAATGAATGAGAATGGGCATGAGGGGCTGAAGAGATGGCTCAGCAGTTAAGAGCACTGCCTGTTCTCAGAGGTCCTGAGTTCAATTCCCAGCAACCAAATGGCGGCTCACAACCAACTGTAATGAGATCTGGTGCTGGAAGAACACTGTATATAAAATAAATAAATAAATAATTTTTAAAAAAATGGGCATGAGCTGACAGAAATATTCTGCAGAATGCCGCTTGAAGACAGAATAGTATCCAGATTCTCCAATGGTAGGATGTTTCAATAGAGGTGTGGGGTAGTGGTAGAACTCACAACATGGCAATGAGTTATGAACACAGGTAATCCCCTGGGCTACTACTTGGTAACTATGCAATCTGAGACAGGTACCTAACTACACAGACCTCCCAACCTTTCTTCTATAAAAACTGAGAAATGTAGGTGGAGAGATGGCTCAGCAGTTAAGAATACATACTGCTCTCGCAGAAGACCTGAGTTCAGTTCCTAGCACCTACATCTGGTAAAAATTCCAGATCTGATGTGTTCTCCCAGCCTCTGCAGGTACTACACTCACATGTACAAACCCACACAGACACACACATATACACATATTAAAAATAAAATCTTTAAAAACTGGAAATGTAACTCAAAGGTCAAAGCCTACATGTGACCACCAACAGCAACACACACACACACACACACACACACACACACACACACACAAACACACAAATCAACCTAGAAAGACATAATCTATTTTAGAAGGAAAGGATTAAACAAAATGTTCCTTATAAAACAGGTTCTAGTCAATGTAAGGTGGCAATTAAATTCATGTTTTAAGGTCCTACATCTCTATTAAAAACGACCAACCATGATAGAATAAAAATTTAGTCATAACCACAATAACAATAAAATGATGTGGGATTCCTCTCTGTATGCTGTGAATGTGTTTTGTTAATGAATAAAGCTGCTTTGGTCCTATAGCAGGATAGAGTAGAGTTAGGCAGGAAAACTAAGCTGAATGCTGGGAGAAAAAAAGGCAGAGACGCCATGTAGCTGTCAAAGGAGAAAGACGCAAGCTGCCAGTCAGAACCTTGGTAAACCACGAACCTCGTGGTAAAACATAAAATAATGGAAATGGGTTAATTTAAGAAATAAGAACTAGCTAGCAATACACTTAAGCTATCTATTAGCCAAAAAGAGTTGTAATTAATACAGTTTCTGTGTGATTATCTCGGGTCTGGGCAGCCAGGAATGAATAAAGTAGTCTCTGCCAACAATAAAACAAATATTAAAAAAGGATGAGAATCATCTTCATGGATCAACAGGAACAGAAATCCTAAGTGATATTGCACATATCACTTAGCCAGGTCATCTTCCAGAGGGACATGTGCTCCCACTGGAGGTAAAGGCAAACAGATTTCATCTCTGTACAATCATCCACAGCCTGGAACTTATGACCTGAGCTACCAACCTTAGTTGTTCATCACTAACTTCACCAGACACTATACTGTCCAACAGATGACAACACAGTAAAACTACTGCTTCCATTGCCAAAGCTGCCCCAGCACTTGGCCCTTACCAAGGCAAGGTGTAGCTCTCTCACAGTCCTCCTCCATAACTTTATTACTTCTCGACTTTCTTCCAACCCTTTTCTTATTTATAGAATAGTCCTGCACAGGATCACTTCTATAATTTAACATATCAATAACTCTACCTCTTCTAAAAGGAGCCTTTCTCAATTATTTACATGTTGGTTTAGTATTCATCTCAGAGCCCTCATAAACCACTTCTAATGTAGAAAGCAGCAATGAAGTCGCTTAGTGCCCAGAATGAAACACACAAATTACTTATAAAGCTAGAGCAGAGCATACGACACAAACAAAAGAAATACAAGTGCATCATTCACCCATATTTTATATGCAAAGTGAAGGTTTTATGACACTTTGAATAATATATATTTGTTCTTCTATATAAGGAACTAATTCTCTGTAAATAGTAATGTATCACTAATAGCTTCCTCCCTAGTGAGGAATTTCTGGACAGGAAAGAAGGCATCAGACTTCCTTTGTGGGTGGATTAGGACCCAGAACTCTGAAGGCTTCCTACCTTTGGAACAACTAGTGTCAAAAGGAACAACAACAAATATAACTCTCAAAGCAGCGCACGGTTTTAAGAACTCTGGGAAACTATAAACAAACAAAAATAGCAGAAGATACAGAAGCAAGAAAAGAAAAGGAAAAGGGGTAGCAGAAAGACCTGTGATCTACAAGCAAAGAAGAATGCAGAAGCCAAAGAGCGTATTCTCATGCCAACACTGTACTGGACAGATGTTGGGTCCTTCTAGTCCCTGAGCCCTACCCTCAGAAGTTCTGGATATTCAACCTGAGATCCCATTACTAACCCTCAAAGGAATATAAAAGAATTCTAATTGAAACTACTCCCAAATTCCTGTCAAAAGCTGAAACAAATCCATCTAGAAAAAGAAAGGCTTAACAGAAATTAAATCTGTGATTCATATTGAGTTTATAACAGAAGCAAAAATGAAAAAAAAAAGATGAAGAAAAAGAAGCCACTGTATTGGGAAAGGTAACCAAGAGATTTAAACTACTAAGTACTTTGGATATTAGAATTACCTCTAACCAATAAGCTATCTGCAACTGATATCTGCAAAAAGAGGAAAAATGAATTTGCTGGCCTCAAACGCAGAGATCCACTTGCCTCTGCCTCCTGAGTGCTGAGATTAAAGGTGTGTGCCACCACTGACCAGCTTCAGTTTTTCTTCTTAGATCAAACTATGCACATATTGCTTCAAACTATGAATAATTAACATTGAGAACTTATAATCCAGGGCTCCACTATGTAGTTGGGTCTATAAAAGTGCTTGAGTTTGCTCCCAGAACCCACTTGGTGAAAGGAGAGAACTCCCACCCCCAAGAGCTGCCCTCTGACCTGCACACACGCCCTGTGAAATGCACACAAACACACCAAATAAGTAAGTAAATGTTTTTCTTCATTTGTAATTTATTCATTTATAAGCCAGGCACAGTACCACAGCCTTTAATTTTAGCTGAGGCAGGTGGATCTCTGTGAGTTCAAGGCCAGCCTGGTCTACACAAAGAGTTCTAGGACAGCTGGGGCTATGTAGAGAGACCCTGTCTCAAAAAAAAAAAAAAGAATTAAAAAGAAAGAACTTGTAATTCATTTCTGAGTCTAGTTCTTCTGGTGTTCATAATCTAGCACCTGCCTAGTACACTGAGCAAGAAGAATTTTATATTTAACACAAACAAAAAAAATTGACACAAGCTGGACGTGGTAGCACATCTCTTCAAGTTCAAGACCAGCCCGGTCTACATAGAGTTCTAGTTCTAGGACAGCTAAGGATACATGAAGAGATCCTGTCTCAAAAACATTCAAAAGCAAAGGCACTGCCAAGAAGTTGGCAAAATGGTTCACCAGGTAAAGGCCCCTTCTATCAAGCCTGACAGCCCGAGTTCAGTCCCTGGGACTCACATGGTGAAAGGAGAGAATTTACTGTAACAGACATTCACATGCTTGCTGTGGGGTATGCCTGCAGCACAATTCTGCACATATACCCAAATAAAATCTAATTTAATTAAAAAACACACAGGCAAACATCGTTCCAGCTTTAAAGACTACCTATATACACAGAGACATAGATATGCAAAAACCCCATCAGTAGTTGCTCTTCAAGAGAACCCAGGTATAATCCCAGCACACACCAGGCAGGTAACAATCATCTGTAACTCCATCCTCAGCAATCTGACACCTCTTCTAGCCTCCAAGGGCACTGAACATCTGGTGCACAGACACAAATGCAGGCAACACACCCCCATCCATACACATAAGTTTTAAAATATTACATATATGTGGAAAACTGAGTTTCTATATATCACCTGCAGTTTGGGGACATAGGACATTTATGTAAAAGTCACATGAAAGTTCATATGGAAAGGAAGACAGCAATAGCTTATTACTATTTAGAATGTGTTTACTCGTCCAACTAGTATGTTTACATCTAGTTGGTCACACAAGCGACACTTTAGTACATTTTTTAAAAGAAAAATCATGCGAACACTTTTAGCAGTATCTGTTGTAAAAGTAGGGAGAGGGCAAGGTACAGCCATTTCTATTCGTCTTCAAGTAAAATGAAGGCTCAAATAAAGTATTGCATTTTTAACAAGGATTTTAAAAGCTAAAATAATAACAATAATAAGTAGCAAAAATAATAATAGTACCAAAACTTACTTCAAAAAGAAAGAGGATGGAGTCCAGCTCCTCCCTTTGTGACTTATTATTCCCTGGAAATTAAGAAAAAAAAATGAGTCAACATGCTAGCACTTAAGCTTTAGAATCTCATACACGATGCTAAAAGGCATCTCCCATGCTGCAGACATGCATTAGGAACTAACTACCGGCACTCAGGGGGAGCACTGCTAGTAAGAGGGCCCCGAGTTGGTACATCGGGTCCATGTCACCCACAGCCACCTCTTACTCTTATAACGTCCATGTTTTCTAAAGTTTGTTTCTTAACTAAGTACTCACCAGAAATTATGAGAAAAACGTGTGGGGCAAACCATGATAATATTAACAAGCATAGAGCATGACATCTATAGACAAGAATCTGTCTCCTTCATTACACAATTTCAGGCTTCATTTTTTTCTTTTTTTTGAGATAGGGTATCATTGTTGCTAAGGATGACCTTGAAATTTGGATTCTCCTGCCTCTACCTCCCAAGAACTAAACTTAGATTACAAAAGGTGTGCTACCATACTTAGATTTATGTGGTGCTGGAATCAAACTCAGGTAGGAAAGCACTCTATCAACTGAACTACACTCACAGCCCCGCAATGCCCTTTTTGATAATATTAATCGGCAATATAAAAACTGTACTATCTGCCTCTAGCAGGAATTATCATTTATTGTCTATAATATGTCCCAAACATTGTGCTAAGCATGTAGCTTAAGTCATCTACCTTAAGAATCAGCAGATAGTAAATATTTTAAGCTTTTTAGATCTCTTACAACTATTAGACTGTGTTGCCACAGGCTGTACATAAATGAAAGGAGATGACTGTATCCAATGAATCCAGTGGGGCATGGTGGTTCACCATTGTAACACTGTTAGTGTGGGAGGTCAAGAATCACCAGCGCTCAAGGCCTGCCTAGGCTGCACAGCAAAACCCTGTCTCAACAACAAGGACAAAACAAAAGTCAAGTAAGCTATCAGTTGCAGGCTCCTGACCTAACTGAATTCTCATTTACAAATACTAAAAACTGTCTGTTTCTCAGGAATTCTGCTGGGCCCAGGGGACAAAGGAATAAACCAACCAAACAACACTCCCTACTCTGGGGAAGATTACATTTCGACAGTAGAAGGCAAACTATAAATAAGTTAAAAAACCCATGATCAAAAGCAAATGAGGAATACTAAAACCAATATGCAATTCTGACTTGGGAAGTTGGGAAATACTTTGCTGGAAAAGCGACAACTAGGCAAAGATATACAACGTGCAAAGAAGCAAGCGCTACAGAAATATGAGGGAGTCCCACCCCAGGCAGGGAGAGTGGACCAGACAAAGTTCCTGCAGCTGAGCACATCGGAAAACAGCCAGAAGGACCTGGAGGCTAGAGCAAAGATGGGGAAGATTTGAGCAGATGAGTTTAGAGAGTAGGTGCAGCAAAGGAAGACAGATCAGATAAAGTCACTACAGTGATTTGAAAATGAAAAGCCACTGAGGACTTTTCACAGTCATTGTGTGAGTCATGGCTTCAGCTACTATTCTGAAAGGAAACGGGGTAGAAGAAAGCACAAGAATAGTAGTGAGGAGACCCTTCCTAAAGCTCGTGCCAGTCTAGACAAGGATAATCAGTGTAGGCAAGGAGACAAGCCAATGATATATTCTGAAGACAGCCAGCATCTCCAAGGTTTTGTCCTGAATAACTGAAAACCTGAAGTTACCATAAAGTGATTTCATTATTCCTAGTAAACATTTTTTTCTTCTCTTTGGGGGAGGGGGGGTTCACTTTCCTTTTTGCACTCCAATGCAGACTGCACTAAAAGCAAGAGCTTCCAAAAATCTCCCACTGTTCCTATTGATTATCACTGAATCTTTGGGAGAGTTTCCAAAATGGGACACAGTCTTTTCCCTACCATAAACAGATGTCTCTTTCCCTTGAATCTGAACTGCCTCACGATAGCCTTTGACCAATGTGACGCTAGCAGATGTGTGGCATTTTTGGCTGGTGCTGAGACTCTGAGGCCGTCCTGTAAAGGAATTCAATCTGGCCCGCCTGCTGGATAATGAATCTCCACATGGAGAAATACGGCATTCTGGTCAATTGTAAGACACGTGAGTGAGGCCATTCAAACAGCTGACCAAGGAGCAGAAGCTAGGCTAAACCAGAAAAACTCCACAGCAGACCTAGAGAACCACACATGGAATAGTGGTTGTTTTAAGGCATTAAATTTGGGAGTGATTTTTCATACTACACAAACTAACTGATACAGTTTTGAAATACTACAATTTTCTAAAAGAATGGATGTAAAAAAGGTGAAAAAAGAAAAGGAAAGAAAAAGGGAAAATGAGTTATGACAAAATAACTTTTGATAGTTGGCTTATTTTTAAATCTGATATTTTAATTTTTTCATTGCTATTTTGTTTTTATTTGGGGTGTGTGTGTGTATATTGCAACAAGGTCTCACTAGGTAGCTTTGGCAAATTTCAAACTCACTATATAGACCTGGCTGGCCTTGAACTCACAGAAATCCATCCCCCTGCTTCCGCCTGAATGCTGATGTTAAGGCTTGAGCTACCACACTCAGCTGATTGCTATTTTGATTGCAAAAAAACAACATGACCCTTTTCTCCTCCAAACCAAACTAGAGTAGAGCAAAACCAGCAAAGTAAATACAGATCATTTCACGTTTGGCATATCTACGCCCGGAGCCAAAATAAATTTTCTTAAGTTCAAGATTTATACCAGCTTAACTGGAGATGGAAACTGAGAAACACCTTAAAAAGAGCACACGCTGGCATCCCTGGCACAGGCTACTGCGTCATCTGATGTAGGCTAGAGCCCCAAGCTCTTGGTAAGACTCTGAGTCCCCTGCTGCATACCCCAGCCCACTGAACCCTGGGTCCATAACCCTTCTCCTCCACACACTTGTTTGATCACAGCAATTGGAGTACCTCAGGAAGCCCTTCAGTTTTTCTTTCCTGCCAGCCAAAAAGTCTGTCAACATTCATCCTCTAGCTTTTCTCTTTAGACAAAAAAAGCCACTCTGAACTCATCTCTCTGTCTCTCTACTGTTCACTTTACCCCCACCCCCTTCTCCAAGCCCCACTATATCTGCTATCTCTCTCCGGACTGCCTACAGGTACAGTCCATAGCAACTCTCCCTGTGACCAGTTAAAGCACAGTCTACACATGGCAGCTCCGTGGGTGCTTTCCTCAGCTCTACATCCCTCTGCTCCATGCCCACCTGTCAAGTTGACAGTTCCTCACTAAGAAATCTTCTCATGTCAGACATGAGCTCTCACTTCCTAATCCCACTGCATTTCATCTTTCTGCATCATCAGGCTTTCTGATCTTGCATGCCTTGAAATCTCTCCCCCCTGGGCTTCTGTGACAACACAATTTCCTGACACCCTTCTACTAATATATTTCTCTCCCCTTTATTTGCTGACTCCCTTTTTCTTGATATACTTTCTCCCTTGGCAACAGCAGCCTTCTATCCCCTTCTCCCAAGCTCAGATAACCTATATTTCTGCTGCCCAGCCAATATTTATTTCTGTGTTCCACAAGAACCTCAAATACAGATTGGTCATAGCTGCCTTCATCTTCTTGCCTTCCAAATATTGTTCTCCTTGAAGGTTTCTGAAGCTACAATTGTACCTCATAAGTCAAACTGGGACCCTGAAAGGTTCTTTGACTTCTCCCTCTCCTAAGTATCCAGTCTCACAGGAACTCTTTCTCCTCCCTTAATCACCACCTTGCTGTGTTAGCAGCTCTCACGTGAGTGACAGCACCAGTCAGTCCCCCAACTCACGTCTGGGCCCTATTCACTCACCACTTAAGTTGTCTCAGAGGTAAATGTTTTTTATGGGATATAATTAAAAGCAAAGACCCAAATCCCTATCCTGGAAGTCAAGGCTCAAGGTAGGATTTCCTACATACTTCTTTCTATTACCTCAAGTTTCAAGAAAAAGAAACAAACACATTCCCCACACATGCCCTAAAGGCACACTGCCTTTGCTCAGGCTCTGTCCTCTACCTGCAATGCTATTCTCCATTCAAACTCTACTTTCAGTTCCATCCACCCACCTTCAGGCTGAGTTCATCCCTATGGCTAATAGAGTGACCAATCATGCCTACATAATGAAACCTCCACTAAACCCAAGACATTCTGGATAAGGAAGCTCCCAGATTGTGAAGAAGAATGTGTCATGTACATGCAGAGTATTCTCCAACTCCATGGCAATCCATAATCAGGACCTTCCAGACTTCACACACAGCTTTATCTGCTCATAGGCTCCCTTTAAAATCTGTATTATTCATCTGCAACTCAGTAAATGAACTAAAATTTTGTAATAAACAGGTAAGGTGTTTCCCTACATTCTCCCAGCTCCTCTAGCAAATTAACCCACCCTGAGAAGAGAGTATTAGACTCTTAATTATGGTCAGTCTGTCACTACACAGGCAGCAACCTAGAACCTGCAACTGGCATTAAAGGGGGCAGCTTTGTGGCACTCAGCCCTTAGCCTGCAGGATCTGAAACTACTTCCCTGCAGTCTGGCAAGACTGAATGGCATTAATGTGCACCAGCTGATGTTTGTTGGGGACTCTAGCAGCAGAATGATATGCTGTGTTGGTGTAAGAGACCGGGAAAAACACTTCCATTTGTTTCCCCTAATTTCCCAAACACATGACATGAAATGGAAAGGCAAAGACAACAATGGCCCTTACTAATCAGGTGCTGTGTGCCAAGCTCTGTGCTGAAATCCTAGTGCATCTATTAACCTGCTTCTTTCTGACAGGAGGAAACCAACATGCATAGGTCAAATAATGCTCAAGGAGAAACAGCAAGAAGGATGAGGATAGTCTGGCTTCCCAGCTACACAGTTCCTTCACCCAAATTACCATACCTGGTTTGCTTTCCAAAGAATATTTTATATATGGGCATAAATAGGAAAACATATACAGACAAAACTCATTTGTAATACAAAAAAATCTCTAAGGATGGAAGGTATGGGTAAAGGACACACCTGACTTCATTTCACATCCCCCTTAATGGAATTTGATTCTGCTGCAGGGGTTGTTTTATTGTGTCTGGCTTTTTGTAGCAAGGTCTCACTATGTAGGCCACTATGTATGAGTCTTGAACTCATGATTTTCCTGTCTCTGCCTCCATAGTTCTGGGGTTATAGCTTGTGCCACCAAATTCATCTTAAATCTGGATTTTTTTAAACTGTCCATTGCATTATTTTTCTCCCCTGCTCTTTAAATAATTTGTCCCTTTGGAATTCATGCCTTCTGCGGGTTCCTTCTATTTTCCCTTTAGCCATCTGCTGTTCAGTTAACACCTGTTTACGAGAACACTCAAGGGAAACAAAGATGTCAACCAGCCCACCAGAGTGATGTCTCAAAGCCTGGGAAGAAAGTTTAAAAATGCAGAACTTGTGGCTCAAGACAATGTAATATCTGGAATCTCCTGTATACTCAAAAAAAAATAGTTGTAGAAATACTTACCTTTTAACTTCAAACTATTTTCCAGTGTTATAAAATTTTCATAGAAGATGAAATATATCTGAGAGTAGTTGGTCTCAAAAAACTGCTTAAGATCGCTTGCATCCACATTATCTGAAAAGAGAAGTTTGCATTTACATCATTATTAGAAATCATAAATATAGCCAGGTGTGGTGGTTCAGGTCTTTAATCCCAGCATTCAGAAGTTAGAAGGTGTATCTCAGCCAGCCTTGTCTACAAAGTGATTTCTATTTCCAGGACAGTCAGGGCTGTTAAAAAGAAACTCTGTCTCAAAAAAGGAAAGAAAAGAAGAAAGGAAGGAAGAAGGAAGGAAGGAAGGAAGGAAGGGAAAAAAGAAAAAGAATAAATAAAACAAAAATTAAAAAATATTCACAAAAATTTTCAGAAATGGAAAAAAATAAAGCTAGTCTTACTCCCTTATGAGAAAAAACAATACCGTATTCTCATTTGTTTATTCACTTAAGAGAGGTCAGAACTGCACAGGGGGTACCACTCACCACACCAATGTACAGGAAACCGTGAGGGCCATGAAAGACCGTCAGGATTGCTTGGGGACAACACTCACAGACCAGGTGAAAGGCTGGAGAAAGTGGGTTGGTCTGTTGAGTTTCTTTGGGGAGAAGAAGACATGGAGAGTCACAGAAGAAGCAGCTTTGACAGGGGCCTCAAAGAGGGAACAGTCTGTGGACTTTTGGGGGTCTCTGGTGGAGGTCTTCTGCAGACCAACCTCCCCTCCCTCTCCACCACCACAGTGCTCCAGGCACTGTGACCAAGCACGTCTTCCCAATACATCCCTGCAGTCACATGCACTGGGCTCGTGTGTCCCCCTTCCTTCCCTCGCCTAGGTGCCCCGCCCTCACTCCCCCTTGATATTGTGAATCACACTAAATGCCAGAGAGGTGGGTGGTACAGTTACCATTCCCACCGGGTTCCTTCTTCCCAGGGGCCTGCTCAACCCAGGCAAAAACCTCAGCTGGGGAGGTTATCCACTTTCAACAAACCTTTGTCCATTTTTCTATGATGGCAACATTGTTTGTGCCATTTACAAGATCCTGATTACTGGAGTTAACGCCATAGAATTATACATATAAGGGAAATTAGAAACAGTCTCAAAATTCTAAAGATTATTCAAAAGAAACGGATGGGGCCACTTAATCTGCACAGAATAATATTCCCTGAGTTTGCAGACCTGACAATAAAATACTGTAACTCCATGAGGCACACTCTCTGCAGTGCCCAAGTCATAGAGCTAACAGCATGGGATCTACAGAACTGACTTCCTCTGGTTACCATAGAAGGCCCTTTTGTGTAAAATTTTTTACAAGTTCTTCAGAATAATGCATCTAAAATCTTTATAAACTCACATGAGTTTTCAATTTCATATTGCCCAAAATAAAGCACCACCAAACAGTAGACTCCTAGTAGCTGATAAACTGACCTTGGTGAAAAAGGCCCAGGACGAAGTAGAAGTAGCGTCAGCCCACCAGGGAACACCTTTGGATGTACTCACTTGTTTACTTATTGGTTTATTTAGAGACAAGGTCTTCAACCCAAGCTGGCCTCCAACTTCCTATTTGGAGGATGACCTTGAACTTCTAATCCTCCTGCATGCCTCCGCTCCTCTGCGGCTGGCTTCGGGTGGTACTAGGGATTAAATTTGGAGCGTCATGCGTACTAAGCAAGCACTTTAGCAACCAATGACTACTGTCATTCTTAGGAGCAACATAGGCTTTCTAGGAATCCTTGACAGCCGTATTCAGAATCTGCCTGTTGCAACATGACATCTATGTTCTGTTGATCTCAGGATTTCCTGTTTTGTAGGTATACAAGTGGTAGTCATTATTTTAGCACTGACTATTGTAGGGTGTTTCTTTTATTCAACTGATTTATGAAAATATCAGGGGTTTAGTATGAGTGAGACTAGTTTCTATGAGGACAGGGACTGTATCTAACAGAGAAGACCTGATTCGCTCAGGAATCCCGATGCCCCGAGGAATGAAGCAGTAGGACATGTCCCAGAACAGGAGAAGAACAGGGTGGAAGTCACAGTGGGGGTGCGGACAGACTGCCAGGAAGGACCGTGTATGTTTTAACTGCAGCTCAAACCACCGGCAAGCCTGGCACTAAATGCCCTTTCTGCCCGAGAATTAAGAGGTGGCCCAGTCACCTCTCACTGTCAGCTAAACCACACCACCCACTGCCAGCCTGTCTGCACCTCCACTGCACATGACTGTCCCCCTCAAGCCCTACACTCTACCCTCTGGGATGTCTTTACACTCCTCAAAGTTTCCAAACTTTTTTCTACTTAGATCCCCTAGGGATACTGGTGTGACTCCCAGATCATCCATCCTATAACTAGCTTGGCCTCATCCTTCAGAAATGGGATCGTTCATTAATACCTCAAAGAAATCCACAAATGTTCCAAGTGTCACTTTATACTTTTCATCCAATCTCCTGCCTTCTTCCTTGCAGTTAAAGAGCTTCAGGCTCAGGAAGCCACAGGGAAACAAAGCATTCCCTTAGCAGAAAGGTACAGGTACAGAAGCATCAGTACAGCCCAGACAGGTTACTGGCTGATCAGCAAATCTCCCACCCGATCTCTTGGCCCCTGGTCCCTTCAAGACATTCAAAATACCAGCAACCAGAACAAAAACAGGCCACAAGAACTGAAGGGCTTCCATATAGACCACAATGCTTTCCTAAAGCCAAAGGCCAGGTAGCGGTCACCTTCCTTAATCACCCAGAGTCCTTCTTATTGATAAGAGCTTAAAGCTCTCTTCGGCCTAACAAGTAGATACTTCAAGGTCATCCAGTACACAGTAAGCCAAGCATAGCACTACCACAAGCATAGTGTTACTACACGCTCAGTTTATTTACACCAGCTCAGGACTCCTCACTGTCTTGGGAGTCCTCATCAAAGACAGCACTAAAATGAGCCAAAATTCCAACTTACCCTGATACATCTGTATCATTTGACACCTTCACAAGAACAAAAACTGCATGCAGGCAGGAATTCCACCTGCATGGTTCACTGATGCCCCTTCTGCCTCAAGAAATGACCTGGACTACCCATTTGTTAAGTGAATGGACGAAGTCTGATTACCAGATGTTTTGCACATCTACATCTAACCCAAGATCCAGAGAATACAGAGTAAAGATAGGTCTTGCAAAAAGCACTGGAATTTAGCACCCTGAAAAAAAAGGTTAAAAGAAAATAATTTTAGCAAAACAAATTTTAAGAAGAGATATAAAGGATGGGTTTGCTGTGGGGGGGGGGAACCCCTATAACCACAAACTTTCTTTAGACAGGCTTTTTTGCGTAATTCATTCACTTATTGTACCCTATCACTGCTAACTAGCACTCTTAAGTCAAGTGCTCAGAAATTCAAAGAGAGTAAGAGTCAAAGCCAACAGAACGAACAGGTGAACATAACCAACAACAGCCAGAGCACCACAGCAAGTAGACAACCCCACACAGGCAAGTTTGGGATATTAATAATGCATATAGTTTACGGTCCGCTTTTCACGTTATATGAGATCATTATGAGTTATTCTACTCTACCCTCATTACAACTCTGTGAAGGAGATGGAGCAGTGTGGGGATCACCTTTAAATGATCTCCTTTGACCTGTCCAAAACAACAAGAAAGTTAGGAAGTTCGGGCCTAGGTGGAATTCCTACCTGAGTTTCTGACTTCAAATCAAAACTAGAAGGCAGGTCAGGAATTTAGAGGAAATAAATGATCCCTGAAGATGTGCAGAAAAACCACAGGTAAAGAACAGGAAGTGTTCAAAGTGAGCAGGCAGAGCAGAGTGAGCAATAGTCAGCAAGAATGGGGAGCAGCATGACAGTTCACAGCTTCAGGGACAGGTGAGGACAGAGCCAGGTCGGAGGCCTCACTCCGCTCATCCTGTGTCTGATGAAGAAGCTAGAAGCTGTCTTATTACCATCAGACAACTCTGCCAACTACGTCCAAAAACACCACAGGGAAGCGAATGCCAGACATCCATCCCTACAGAGCTTGAGGTCAGTTCTAAATTTTTTAAGTAACCATTAATTACTCCTTCACCATCAGCAGCCGGTAAACTGCATTACTTTCCCATTTTCTCTCAAAGATAATCTGTATATCACATCAAACTTTGCACTCCTTATACTGACAGCCTTTTCTCCACTTTCAGCTGGAAGTCGCCAGCAAAGACTAACGGCAAAACCTTTGGAGCAGACTATGTCTGACTGCAAGCGCTACAGGGTCTGAGACAAATGAGATAAATTGCTCCTCAATTTCATCTGAAAAACAGGACGAACAGTGGTCCCTAATCTGCAGGGCTACCTACGGTGAAGAGAAAATAAACATATGCAGAATGCTTGTAGAATGTCAGTTGGCATCACATAAATGTTACCTGTTTTTTATAATTACTTCGCTCCTGGCAAAGCTCTCTCACCAGGAAGAAAATAACACAACCTCACCTATGTATGAAGCCATCAAATTCAATGACTCAGAAATTCATATACTTAACAAGACCATCCCATATTACATAGTACTTAATCCCAACACAACAGTAAATACTGCCAACAAGCATACCCATGAAGTCAGGCCAATTCTCCCTCCATCTCCTTCTACACATGATCCTTTTCAATGGCAATTCTATCGCTCTTTAGTTAGAAGGGTCAAATATAGCTTCATGAGAACTTGTTTCAGCAGATCCCTATAGAACCAAATGAAGGGGAGTCTGTAGCCCACTCAGGAGTCCCAGCTGACTCAAAAGAAAAGAAGGAAGCTCAAGCCCAGATCCTCTATGATAGAGTACCTTCAGACCTCCTTTACCCACATCCTAGGGCGAAGAGCCACCTGATTCTGGACACGCATTTGTGTACATTTTCTATTTAGTCCAATCACCTGAATAAGGTACTGAAGGCCAGATGATCAAAATCATAGGCTTGTGACTGTGAAAAAGGGCAAGTGAAGAATTCAAGGTGACTTACCAAAACAATCATTTAGAAACACTTGGTAAGAACAAGGAAACTGGAGGTTAGGGAGGGGAGCAAGTGCTTGCCGAGCAATCCTAAGAACTGAGTTCAGATCCCCAGCATCT